ATAGTAACTCTGTAATAACAAATTAATAAAATCTAATCAGCAAAGAAAACTATCTTAATAAAAAAAAATAATAATCTAAAAGAATCTAAACTGATTTAAGTAAATAAATCTGTAATAAACTAATTAGCTTAAATAGTTAGATATTATGAAAGTTAAATTAATAAACAGAATATTTAAATAAGTAACTCACAAACAGGTTACAGATATGGTAATATAATATAGAATTAATCAAATAGTCTAATTACCTGTATAGTAAACTACTTAAAATAAACAATAACTAAAGTTGTATATGTGGCTTGTTATATACTCTTCATGTAATTACAAACAGTGAAGATTAACAATATATAATCCTATATGCAAAACTAATAAAATCCTGTTAGCAATATAAGCTATCTTAACAACAAAACAAAAAAAAAAAAAGTCAAAAATCTATATCTAATTTTTGAAATTAAAATTTCATTTACGAATTTTTACAAACTTAGAATCTGACCCACTTTTGACATTAAGTCTATCGGCTTATTTAGAATTATGAACTAACTTATCCACAAGGTTTTCAAAAAGAAGCTGAAAAAAAAAGCCAAATTATTATTAAATATAATTATTAAAATAGGTGAATATTATTTTGATATGCTTTGTTCAGTAAATGAATTGCTAAGTTTGTAAGAACAGTTCACTCAGATCAAACGTTTTCTCAAGAAGTAAATCGAAACTTTGAATATTTTATGTTCATTGTGAATTTTTTTAAATACCAATAGGGAATTATATCAATTTTAATATCCTGGATATGCTTCCAGATTTTCAAATGTAAATTTATCTTCATTTTTTTAATTTTTTTTTTTTCATTACATCACACTAAATTTAGTATTAAGGCCAACATTATTCATTACTATATCTCAGGTATTGAAGTGAGTAAATCAACTCTAACATTTGGGATCTTTGCTAGGAAAATGACCTTTCGAGACTATTTAAAATTTATAAATAAAATTAAAATTGACCAGTGATCCAATAATTCAATTTGAATAAATTTTTTTCCATTTCATAGAACTCTATGAAATAAAATAAAAAAAAGTTTATTCAAATTGGATTACTGGATCGCTGGTAAATTTAAATTTTATCGTAAAATCTAGATAGTCTCGGAATGTCATTAGATACCATTTATTCTCAATTCTCTTCAGGTAACCTATATTTTTCTTGAGAGATTTTAAAAAATCTAGGATACATCTTTCCTTGTCAGATCGTACATTTGTCCGATAAAATTATTGCATTCAATCATAAGTTCACATACGGACTACTAAAATCGACCAAACCATATTACATTGAAGCTTTACCACTAAGTTTTCTACTAAACTTTGGGAAGCCTAATGGTTTTGAAACCAAAGATGGAACGTTCGAAGGAAATTCATTGCGTCGAATTCTGCCACAAAAGAACAGAATGATTTACTAGATTTGTTGTATTACAAGAGGAGAGTTAGCAAGATTACTCGGAATATTAGTTATACTCAGATTTATATTTGGTTCTTATTAAATTTCTATTTATAATATTTGTTTTATTTTGTGCAGATAATACCCAACCGTTTTTATAAACATTTACTATCATAGGCCAAACGACCTATATCTTCTAAAGTAGCAAAACGGCAAGAGATAAAATTTAAAGAATAATCAACCGTTGATGCCTGCGGTAGAAATCATTACACTGAAACAATCAAAGCTATTCAACGCAACTTGTGTCCTCTGTATCACCTTATTTTTCTGTCGGTTCTGTAATTCAAGATTTTTTGCGTACATCAATTTTGTGTATATCAGATATAAAATTTTTTGAAAATAAAATTAAAAGCTTGGGTTTTTATTAATTTAATAACATTGACTTAACAAATTTGATCGGTTTTGATTTGACACTATTAACCGAAAATGGGAAATATATGTTTGGGTTTGGGTTATTATCCCAAATGAAGTAAAATCTCGATTCTCAAACCCAAACTATATAATAATGTCATAATTCAAAAGAAGGTTTGGATCGCAACTCTACTGATGATGGAGAAATTTTATTCAACACATGAGATGCTCGTTTTTTAATATCATCATCTTTTACAGTATCCAATATACGATTGATTAATGGAATACTAGGTGTGAGCTTAGATAGAGAAACTGATGGAACTAAAAAATATTAAAACATTTGTAGAATTCTCAATTATTGCGTAAAATAAAATTTTAATTAAAAAAAAAAAAAAAAAAATTAGAAATAAAGTACATGAATACCTTCCGTCGAAAGGTTATCAAGCGCGCGTATAATATGACGCTGAATTTCAACATCAGATACTGGAGAATCGCCGATAGCTATAAGTGCTGGAATGATACCTTCCCAAGATTCAGTTTGGTTCATATCATGATCTTCAATCTCTATTAGTTGATATGACAACATACGCGCCTTATTTTCCTCTAAATTAATTTTTAACAATTATTTTATAGCCCAATTAATTATCATCTAACAAACTAAAGATACCTACCATATAACGCGAAATTTGCCAATAACCTTGCAACATGTCTATAATTAAAGATGATTATAATTTTATGACAAAAAAATCCGAAAATAAAAAATTTTAATTTATAAACCTCTGAATTTCTCTATCTGTGAGAAAGTAACCGACAATCCGACATAGATTGGATAATAATAGAGGTTGGTGAATCAAAAGTTGCTGTGATTCAGCTGTCAAAAACATAAAAACTTACGCGTTAAATACATTATATATATACAGTATCATGCAAAGAGTAATAAGATCATTACCATTTGTTGCCAAATTAGCCTGAATTATTAGAAACATTAGAGCTTGGACATTAATAACAACTGTAAATAACTAAATAACTTTATAACTGCATACCATTGCACAACAAGCGTGAGATATTGCTACTTGATTATCTTTTACCGATTGTTCAAGGTTAATTATGGATGTCAACAATTCTGCACGACCATCTTTAATTAAAATTGACTTATATTTATCTATAAAAAAAACTTTATAAATAAATCGCGATTATTCAAAAAGAACCAACATAATACAGAAATCAAATATACCGCTTCTAAGTGATAAATATGCAATTGATTTTGCAGCATATTTTCGCACTTCATAAATGTCTGAATGCAATAAACGCATCAGACGATCCAATCCATCTAAGGGATATTCGATAATAAGCAGCTGATGAGTCGCTAATATATATATATATATTGATATTTATACTTTATTAGCAAAACGAAAATCTTTAAAAGTTCCTAAATAAAATTTGATAAATAATATATACGATATGTAGAAATGCATGAGATGGTTTTAGCTGCAAGTCTACGAGCCAATTCAATACGAAGACGAATTTCTTCATAAGAAGGAAGTGAATCATCCTCGGATGCGCCATCATCATCTAACGTTCCTAGTTGAAAATCTGCTAATTTTAGAATAGCATCCAAAGCTACATCATCAATTAACATTTGTTGACATAAAGATCCTATTTATAGAAAGTAATGTTATCGGATTCGACCGTTAAGAGGTTTATATTGTAAACTTTAATAGGCTAACCTGAGACTGACAAGTAATATAATACATTCGCAATATTTAAAATAATACTTGAAACGGAGTCCAAAAATTTTAAAGTATTTGATAAGTCTAACATCTCTGATTCTGATTTATTATAATAAAATAGGATGAGATGATACAAATATGGAAGACTTCCTTTCATAATAATATAAGGCTTAAATGATTCTAAAAACAAAAAAAGGAATCAGTTTGTCAAGTAATTAAAGGGATGGCTGAAAACAATACTTTAAACAAACCATTCCCGGAAAGATTGGCCAATGCAATTGTTCCTAACAAATGAAGGTCACATGACTGCGTGGCTCGACATAGATAGACTACCGCGTCTAATCCCCCATTAGTGATGAAAGAAGATATTTCTTGTTCTATTTTAAAAAGCATTTAAAATTTTTTCCACAATCAAGAGAAATAATTTCACGCATAACTTATTTACCATTCCCACGTTCAACAATATCAAGTAACCCTCGGGCACCGTGTATCTATTTCATGGTTATGATTTTAATAGTGAAAGAATATCAAAAGACGTTATTATTAAAATACCATTAAAAAGCATTCGATCAACTACGAATATTACCTGGGTCGATTTGTCATCTGAAATAACATATCCAACAAGATATGCGATTTCAAAACACCCACTACAAACACGCTCTGGTTTTACATAACCCAATTGAGGTAATGCAATGTTTTTTGAAGTACATTCTTGGCAGAATATGTTCCCACTAAAAATAATTGATTATTAACCAATAAATATGGATAATCTATGCTACTTGAACATGTCATGAACTTACCATTGACGGCAATGATGCTAATTGGTCAAAAATAAGTGACAACAGGTACTTTAATGAGGTTAATTAAATCATTATTAGCTAAGGGACAAAACAAACAACTAGTTGCCGTTATTAGCGAGACTACAGCTCATGTCCTCTTGATTCATAAATAACATATGCATGTTAATAGATTAATGGATCAAATATGATTGTAATTACTTTTCGTCTTAGAGGAGTAAAAGATGTTTCGCAGCCTTTACAAGTTTTGACTGTTTCATCGTCAACCCATACAGGTCGTACTAAGAGAAAACCATCCAAAATGTCACTTTGGGAGAATTGTTTAGCAGACATCGAAAAGAATAACGATAAACAAATGAAATGTATTTAATGTATGTCATATACAGGAGCACGTGAAAATTTACCAATAAAATTGATTACACGATTGATTTCAATACTGCAATATATATGCTATGTCTGATATGAATTTTATTAATAGCATATATATCAAACTAGGTCATTCCAATATTGTAGAACCCCATACCAGGTGACTGTCATGAAGATCATTCAACCAACAATAAACAATGAACAATGTAAAAACGTCACTCAAAAAGGTAATTTTCATTAAAAGTCAACAAATTGAGTGAATACTTTTTATTCCAGTAAATAATAGTGTAACTATTAAATAATCCAAAAATAATCAAATAATCAAAATAATCGAAAAATTCAAATGTCCAATATATAAACCTAAAAAATTGCGCCAAACAAAAAAAGAAGGAAAAATTAAAATAATACTTCAAACGACAACACAAGAACTCTGTTCATCGCCATTTGGATTGAGATTCTTTTCAATTTCGCTTATCATGAGTTCAAAAATTCGAGCTAAAGAAAATAAAAGATAATTATAAAAAAAGTTATATTTGGAATATAATATCAAAATTAGGTAATGTAATTGAAAATTAATAGACATACTTATATTCTCATTATGTTTTGCAGACGCTTCGGTCCATGCGCAATGCCATTGTAAAGCCAAATCTTTACCTTCTTCAGGAGTCAATTGTCTAAATAATAAATAACAGATTGAATAAAAAATATAAGAAATTAAAAATTTTGACTGTTGATTATACTTATTTTTAATCACCTTTGCAGATGTAAATCCGTTTTATTACCGACAAGAACAATTGGAACAGATGGCTTTCCAGTATAATTTAGAATCTTATCTCTGATAACCTTTATCATCTCAAAACTTTGTCTAGAAGTAATAGAGTATACTAAAATATAGCCATGTATTCCGATAGCATGTGTAGAATTCAAGATCGAATGTTCATCCTAGATCGAATAAAAATTAGATTTAATTCAGACTGTTAAAAGAAAAATAAACTAAATAAATTTATATAAAAATATACTTGTAATTACCTGACCTGCAGTATCAATGATCTCTGCAGCGATCTCTTGCCCTCTGTATCTTATAACTTTGTTAAAAGTATTCTCGATAGTAGGGTAATAAGAATCAACAAAATGGTTTTCCACGAATTGAATTGTCAACGAGGATTTACCTTCGAAGGAAGTAAATTGAGTATCACCAATAAAATCTAATAGTAAGAAAGATAATAAAGAAATGCTCACTTACCTACAGCACGAGAACCTAAGACGGCTATGGTTCTTGGTTTCGGTGCGTTGCCAGCCATCATAAAAATATATAGAGCAACGTCGTTCTTTAGAGAAGCGTTATCTGATACAGTATATAACAGATAAGTATCTTCAGTCTGCACGTGTTGTGTAGTAACACAAAATCCAGATTATGTTGGTAACTTGGTATTGACGGATTGGTTAACAGCGATAATCGTACTTAATGAACCATTTCAAGCTCAAATTATGTCTAAGAACTTTAAATTGTTTGACGAATTGTAAGAGGACAAGTACATAAAAAAAAAAAAAAAAAACGTATGTCATTATTACATTATTTATCATACGGAGCAGCACTGCTCGCGTTCTTGTTTGTCGTATTAAGCTTAGGTATAAAGCACATTTACTGTTTTTGGTTTTTTTTCCTAAATTCTGACACATTCCCTTGTCTAAATTGTTTTAAATTATAAATTATATAAGCATGTGGGCTCTATTATCTAGGTATGATTCATTATATACTCTTTTCAATCGCGTTTTTATTTGAGCTCTTTCGAGAACTATAGATAATTATTTCCTTTCTTTTAGCCGAATTCGTCGAAGAATATACTGTATTAACGAGAAAGATTATTAAAAATACTACTGGAGTATGTATGTGCAAATAATTAATATGGTTACTTTATTAAATGACTAGAAAATACTAATTAATTTCACATTTGAACTTTTACCAGGTTGTTATAGCGATTCATATCCTTCTTTGGATGTTTGACGGATTCCCATTCTGGCGAATTATCTTTTCTGTGATGTGTCATGGCGTATACACGCTAAATTTAAAAACTTTTCCATTTATAAGTTTGACAAGTATACAGTTCATTGCAAGCTGTGGTTGGTAGCAAACTCTATTAAAATTATGAGTTTACTTTCTTTTTTTTTCTTTGGTTTGGATAATTTCAAAATTTTATAATAATTCTATTATTGCTTCATTTAGTACTCGTATTGATTGATCATTTTCTTTGGTTTCAATTTTTCACCTCACGCTATTTTGTTTTCATGGATATTGCCGCTTTCTTTGGAGTATGTGTTTGGATGGTTCCTTTTGCCTACTTTATTTCTCTAAGTGCTAATGACAATGCTTTACCATCATTTGGTTCGTTATTATTTTATTAATCGTATATGCTAATTTAACGATCGATCTAAACGTCTATAATGTTTTTTTAAAAATTCCAGATCCAAATATACATAATACTGACTTTGCTCACGTGCGAAATAAAGGTGGAATATTGAAAAATCTGTTGAATTTCGTTCTACAAAAAAAGGATGATTTAATTCCAATGGCATCAGATATTTCATCTTCCACCCTACATGCACGGAAGAGCTTATGATCGTGTGTATTGTTTTGTAGGGTTTGTTAACAGGTTGAGTTGGTTTGGGTTGAAACCACTCCAACTTGGAGTATTAAGTTCTAATATAACTTCAATTTGGTTTCCAGTTTAATTAAAATATTCTAATTATTATATTTTATAACTCACTCCCAGTATGGTTTGGGTTTAAACTGGAATACTCAGGAGTATATATACTACTCCAATTAACAATCCTAGATTTTTGATTTTGCAAAATGGTGGC